GGAGGAAGGGATGGAGGGAGGGAGGGAGGAAGGAAGGAAGGAATGGAAAGAAACCCAGTAGCAGAACTCTTCTTGGTATTTTCCTTTTGTGAGCGAGTGATGACTCAGGATTAAATGAAAGAGATTGTATGACAATGACTGGTCACTGATCGGTAACTTCTCTCATCTCTGTTCTTTTATTTCCTTTTATTTCTGTCATCAGAATTTACTTTAGCAATATTAAGTTTTTGCCTTTTAGATACTTGTGACTAGAATGGCCTCTCTATTTTATTGATGAGAACATTTGAGATTTTTACTCCTTTGTACTTAGTCATCTAGCTCTTATTTTTTCTAAAAAAGTTTTGTTGATATAATTCGCATGCCATATAATTTACATATTTAATGTGTACATTTCAGTAGTTTTTAGAATATTCACAGAGTTGAATCAATTTTAGAATATTTTTATCACTCTTGGCCATCACTCCCTGTTTCCACCCAGGCCCCCTAGACCTAAGCAACCACTAATCTGCTTTCTGTCTCTGTGGATTTGCTTGTTCTGGACATTTCATATCAATGAAATCATATACAATAAGTGGTCTTTTGTAACTGGTTTATTTCATGTAACTTCATGGTTTCAAGATTTATCTATGTATTACTTTTGATTTTTCATTGCTCTTGGGGATGGTACAGAAAATTCTGTGTAGTGTTTTTCTCTCATCTCTGGAATAGACGAACAGTTTATAGATAGATTCTTTGAAGAACAACAGTAAAAAAGTATTTCCAAACAAAGACTGTCTTAGGTCTTTAGATGTACTTTAGTTGTAGTCACTTAAGATAGATGGTTTTTGATCTCTGTATTAGTTATCCATTGCAGCAGAACAAATTTTACAAAAATGTGGCAGGTGTAAACAGCATACATTTAGTATCTCCGGTTCTGTGGGTTGGGAGTCTGGGCACTACTATGTAGCTCTCGTTCTCTCACCTGGCTACAGCCTTATCAGGTCTTCACCTGGAAAGATCCATGTCTAGCTCACTCACGTGGCTGTTTCAGGGCCCGCTTTTTCCAGGCCTCACTCAGTTCCTTACGAGCTGCTGGCCACAGGTGGTCCTCTGTTCCTTCCATATGGCCTCTCTTTAGGACATCTCATGGCGTGCCACCTGGCTTCATCAAACCAAGAGAGTGAGAAAACAAGAAAGAGTGGGCCAGTAAGAAGAGGTGGGCCAGTGAGAAGAGATGGACCAGCGGATTGGTGGGCACAATTTCTCACAATCTGATCACAGACGTGACATCCTGTCACTTGCCCCAGTCTGTTGGTTACAAGTAAATCACTGGAGTCGCCACATATTCAAGAGGAGGGACACAGGCTAGAATACCAGAAGTATAGAGATTATTAAAGTTAGGTCACTTTAGAAGCCTGCTTATCAGAATCTCCAGTCCTTTTTGGAACATGTATAGCCGGTGTCAGAAAGGTGGATTCTTGCCTTCCTTGGTTGTAGAGGGACTGTGGAGAAACACGTCAGAAGTGCCCTTAGCAATATGGTGAAATTCCCTGAAGTAGATGTCCTGATAATTTGTGAGACCTTCCCCCCCCCTAAATTCATCTCCTTCATCTTTCTCCTCCCACTTAGTCAGTTTCAGCTGCTATACCAAATAATCATAGACTGTGAGACTCAGCCAACAAACACTTCTCACAGGCTGAAAGTCTCTCGAGATAAGGGTGCCAGCATGGCCTGGCTCCTCTGGGTGCTCGCCCTGGGTGTCTTCACATGGCAGCAGAGAGAGCTTCTGTCTCTTCCCCTTTTTCTTCTTTTTTCCTTTTTGAGTCAGAGTCTCACTCTTTGCCCAGGCTGGAGGGCAGTGGCATGCTCACAGCCATCACAGCCTCAACCCTCTGGGCTCCGGCGATCCTTCCGCCTCAGCCTTCCGAGAAACTGGAACTACAGGCACGCGCTACCACACCTGGCTTATTTTTTGATTTATTGCAGAGATGAGGTCTCATCAAGTTGCCCAGGCGGGTCTCGAACCCTTGAGCTTAGGCAGCCTTCTCGCCTCGGCCTCTCAAAGTGCTGGGCTTACAGGCATGAGCTGCCGCGCCTGGCCATCTTCCTTGTGTCCTGAGAACCCTAGTCCCATCTCGGGGCTCCGTCCCATGGCCTCGTCTCAGCCTGATTTCTTCCCGGAGGCCCCACCTCCATACACCCTCACGCTGGCGCAGGGCTTCACCATGGGAATCAGGAGACGACACGAACATCCAGTTCACAGCAGACGGCCTGGTGGCATTTGGTTTCGCTTCTCCCCTTTTTTTCCTGCTGCATTTCAACAGATTAATTCCTGGTCTTCGTTCCACCCCCCGCCCTGCCCCAGCCTTGGTCTTTGAACATTGAACACTTCTGACAGTTGCTTTTCTTTCCTTTCCTTTGCTCTCTGGTCGTTTTTATGGAACTCTAATTGCCTGTTGAGTTCTTTAGGTCTTAGTTTTGAAAACTGCTTCCTTTTAGATTCTTGTATAATTATGACTCTTCTCTAAGTTCCTCGACTATTTTCTCTTTGGGGTTCTGAAGTAGTTTGAGCTAAACCTGGTGTTCTGGTGCAGAGAACAGGACAATCAGGTAAAATTGTGTCCTTTGCTTCCTACAGAAACTTGGAAAAGGAAGTTCATAAAATGTTTCGATTCTCCAGAACGTACAGAGAATAATAGAACAGAACTCTTGTGTGCTCACCACCTGGATCAATTAAGTGTTAACGTTTCATCTTGTTATTTTTGCTCCTTATTTTTAAATAATTTAATAGTCACTTAAAAATTTATTTATCCATTCAAAATGTTATATTGATGGACATTTAGCATGCTTACACATTTTTGCTATTATAAACATTGCTATGTGAGTGTTTCCTTGTGCTGTAAAACAAACTTCTGAGAGGTTGATGAACAAAACTATAAGCGCTAAACCCCTCTGTAATATGTTGACCAATAAATGTTAAAGCCACTTGTAATAACATACATGAAAGCTTTAGTTAAGGAAAAATACTTTTTGTGATGGCCATTTATATGGAAAAATGTTAACTCATGCTACCTTTCATTTTTGGATTAATACTTGTATGGCATGCTGTATCTGTTTTCAAAACAGATATATGCATGCCTGTAAAGAAAACTGATGAAATATTAGAATTACTAGCAAAAACTGCTTTCAAATGATAATTAAAAAAAATATCCACTGTATGCTTTTCTTATTTTTCTTTGAGGATATTATTTATTACTACTTAGGGGTAATCAGCCAAACCCATAGTTATTCTTTGTGCCATACTAACTTCTGAGCAAGAAGCTTTTTTGTAAGCTTTTTATTATGGACAAATTGTATTTATTTATTTATTTATTTATTATTACGGAAATTTTAAAACACAAAAGTAGAGAAAATAGTACTGTGAACCCACATGTACTCTGCACCCAGTTTCAACATAGTCAGCTTTTCTTTTGCGCAAGATTCTTAGCTGCAATGTTAACATTATTTTCATATTTAGAAAGTATCATAGACAGAGTAATGCAAAATATTAATAACACTCATTTGAAGAATTATTTCAATATTTCTGTAAGTGGCAAATGTATTGAGGACATTATTATTATTATTATTATTATTATACTTTAAAATAATCCTTTTAATACAGTTTTGCAACATTTTGGGCATATTGTAGGTTTCTTTTTTCTATTGGTTGCTCAGGCCAATAGTCTATGAGGCCAGTCTTCTCTCTGACAGGGATATTATCCATAAATGTTGTAGAAGTATGACATAGGACCTTCAAAATGTGTTTTCTTGTTTGCTTTTTGAGCAGGGGGTCTTATTCTGTCACCAGCCTGAGTGCAGTGACACAGTCATGGCTCATTGCAGCCTCAAACTCCTGGGCAAATTGTTGGATCATGGGTTTTCCTCAGCCTCCTGAGTAGCTGGGACTACAGGTGTACACCTGGCTAATTTTTTGTACAGCCAAAATCTCACTATGTTGCCCAGGCTGGTCTTGAACTCCTGGGTTCAAAGAATCCTTCTGCCTTGGCCTCCCAAAGTGCTAGATTACATACAGGTGTGAGTCATTGTATCCAGCCACCAAAGTGTTATGATACAGAAAGTCAGGAGTATTTCAGATGTTTAGAGGACTCCATTTTAAAAAGATGTTCGGGGATCAGCTAGTGATATCCCCTGGTCTCTGCAGCATTCGTGGGATGATGGGTCAAGCACTGTACCATTCACTGCTTGCACTGTGTCTCATGTGTTTGTTGTGTGCTTGGATTCCAGATAGCAGTGGTCATGGGATCTTGTACGGCAGGAGGTGCTTACGTGCCTGCAATGGCTGATGAAAACATCATCGTGCGCAAGCAGGGTACCATTTTCTTGGGAGGACCCCCCTTGGTAAGAACATAATCTCGATGGGTTGATTGAGCTTAAATATGCATAACAGAAAATAGACCATTTTGACTGTTTTGTGATGGTTTTAAAAACATCGTGGTGAAATATGTGTAACATAAAATTTGCCATTTTAACTGTTTCTCAGTGTCCATTTCTATGACGGTGAGTACATTCATGTTGTTGGGCAGCCATCGCTGCCATCCAGCTCCAGAATGCGTTCCTTTTCCCCAGCTGAAACTCACTAAACACAAACTTCCTATTCCCGCCCCCTCCACTTCCCCTGGCAATCACATTCTATTTTTTGTCTTTATGAATTTGTCTACTCTAGGTACCTTACATGTGAGTTGAATCATATAGGACTTAGCAAAATGCCCTCAAGGCTCATCCATGTGTAGCATATGTCAGAATGTCCTTCCTTTTTAAGACCAATTAATATTCCATTGTATGTATGTACCACATTTAGTCGATTCATCCGTTGATGGACATTGAGTTACTTCTACTCTTGAGCTATTATGAATAATGCTGCTATGAATATGGGTATACTCGTATCTGTTCAAGTTCCTGCTTTCATTTCTTTTGGGTGTACACCTAGAAGTGAAATTGTTAGATCATGTGGTAATTCTGTGTTTAGTTTTTTGAGGAATTACTTCACTCCTTTTTATGGCTGAATTATATTCCATTATATGGATATACTGCATTTAGTGTATCTAGTCATCAATTGCTTCTGCTTTTCGGATGATTATACGCAATGGTGCAATGAATCGTCATGTACAAGTTTTTGTAGGAACACGTTTTCATTTCTATTTGCTATATACCTATGAGTAGATTTGCTGGGTAATATGTTAAGTATGTTTAACATTTTCAAAAAACTGCCAGTCCGTCCACAGTGCATTTTACTTCCCTACCAGTGGTGTTTGAGGGTTTGGATTTCTCCACATCCTCACCACACTTGTTGTTGTCTGTCTGATTATAGCCATCCTAGTGGGTAGGAGGGAGTACCTCACTGTGGTTGACTTGCATTTCCCTAGTGACTAGTGATGTTGAGCCTCTCTTCATGTGCTTGTTGACCATCTGCATGTCTTCTTTGGAGAAATGTCTGTTCAGATATCTTGCTCATTTTAATTGTTTAATTACTTTATTCTTAACATAAGCCTTTAGCAACTATTTGGTCTTTTTTTCCTTTTTAGAGACAGTTGTGTTGTCCAGGCTGAAATGCAGTGGTGCGGTCATAGCTCACTGCAGCCTCCAACTCCTGGACTCAAGAGATGTTTCCATCTCAGCCTCCTGAGAAGCTGGGGTTATGGGAACATGCCATTACAGCTGACTAGTTTTTTATTTTTATTTTTTGTAGAGATGGGGCAGGGTCTTAGTGTTGCTCAGGCTGATCTTGAAGTCCTGGGCCCAAGTGATCTGCCCTCCCTGACCTTCCAAAGTGCTGGAATTATAGTGTGAGCCACTGCGCCGAGCCAAAGTTCAAGAATTTCAAGAGGGCAACCACAGAGCGTTAAGCTCCCAGTGTGGGGCCCTTCTGAGAGTGAGGTCCTATGCAGCCTCACAGGTCACTTGCTTGTGATGCTGGCACTGCTGACTGGATCTTGTCATCCTGGGCTCTTGCTCAGTGGTCCTTGATCAGCACCATCCTGGTGGTTTCAGTGATACATTCATTGCTCTGTTGTGCTTATGTCACAGCATGACCTAGACTTCAAAGAAGTAGACACAGACAGTTGCTACCTTGCAACACAGCTGCCCACTATAGAAGTGAAATCTAAGAGTATCAAACAGGTAAAAATAAGAAAGCCAGGGATATTGGAAAATGATAATAAACATATGATGGAATCTTATTCAGCCATAAAAAAGAATGACATTCTGACACGTGCTGCAATGTGGATGAACCTTGGAAACAGAAAAGGACAAATATTACGGGGTTCCACTTCTAGGAAATATTGAGGGTAGGCAAATTCCTAGAGACAGAAAGTGAACTGGTGATTGCCAGAGACTAGGAACAGGGTGGACCGGGGAGTGACTGCTCATGAGTACAGGGTTTCTCCTGGTAGTGATGAAATGTTTTGGGACTAGATAGTGGTGATAGTTGTGCAACCCTGTGAATATACTAAAAGCCACTGAATTGTATGACTTAAAAGGATGAATTTCTCTCTCAAAAAGTTTATTGCTTCAAAAGTTTGTCAAAGAATCATCTTTAATTTTACAATACGAATACAAATTTACTAAAAAGAGTATGTTAAATAGTGCTTATGCTTTGATGTAAAATAAGTGTATTTCCCAAGATTGTGTTAATTTTTTTTCATTTTTTTTTTTTTGAGTTGGAGTCTCACTCTGTCACCCAGACTGGAGTGCAGTGGCCGCTCCCGGCCACCACAGCCTGGATCTGCTGGGCTCCGGCGATCCTTCCGCCTCAGCCTTCCAAGTAGCTGGAACTACAGGTGTGCGCTACCACACCCTGCTCATTTTTGGTTTATTGTAGAGATGAGGTCTTGCCAAGTTGCCCAGGTGGGTCTCGAACCCGCGGGTTCTGGCAATCCACTCACCTCAGCCTCCCAAAGGCGCGGGATTACAGGCTGAGCCACCCAGCCTGGTGATTGTATTAATTTTTAACAACTTTTATTGAGGATCAGGTAGAAAAGCTGCCTTTTCAAATGTGGCCAAAGTCTCAAGACATCATTAAAAAGCCTTCAGTATTATTATTTTTCAATATTTTTCTTGCCTGAGTGTGATAGCTATCATTGGTTAATGAGAGGAAGACACATTCAAAATTTAACTTTGTATAGTAAAGTTTACGAACTTTCATGAGCAGTTCTTGTTTATGTTTTATTAGAAAATGAGTAAAGATATGCAAAAATTTGAAAATATCTTTTTGGAATGATAGGCAGAACATAAAGCTGGAGTCATGTGAAGGGCTTTAATGAAAAGATTTTGTCCAAGGGTCAGTCGTTACAGCGTCCTTTCAGCGGGTTCCGATTTAACTTGTATGTTAAGAAGAGTCTGCTCCACAGCCCAAGAAGCCCGGAGCTCTGGGAGAGACCCGAGCCTCACTCCGCCGTCCACCTTTGAAGGTCTGTGCTCGGCAGGAGAAAAAAGCACCAAGAGCCTTTGCTGCTTGATTCTAAATTCTGTCTTGCATTTTCTTGAGGTTGAAAAGAGGCTCTGGAGGTTTCACACACAGTGCGGGTTTAATTGCTGTAGCTTTTAGTAGCTCAGGGTGGTTGGAAAAAAATAAATAGTAAGACAAGTTTTTGAAGGAGCTTTTTGTCCTTCTGTCTTTTGTTTATCTTCTGAAACTGTTGTTTAGTAGAATGAGCTGTTTTAATTTTCTCTTTGACTTTATTTTTTTTTTTTTTTTTTTTTTTTTTGAGTTGGAGTCTCACTCTGTCGTCCAGACTGGAGTGCAGTGGCCGCTCCCGGCCACCGCAGCCTCGGCCTGCTGGGCTCCAGCGATCCTTCCGCCTCAGCCTTCCGAGTAGCCGGAATTACAGGCATGCGCCACCACACCCAGCTGATTTTTTGATTTATTGTAGAGATGAGGTCTCACTGCCCAGGCGGGTCTCGAACCCGCGGGCTCAGGCAATTCACTCACCTCAGCCTCCCAAGGCGCGGGATTACAGGCTGAGCCACCGAGCCCGGCCTCTTTGACTTTAATAATCTTTGTACCTGTCACAGTATTAGACACATTGTGGGTGTTCAGTAAATATTAACAGATGACAAATCCTTATTTTTTCAGTTGGTATTAGTCAGATCCCCGAAAATAAATGTAGTATAGGTGTTGTTTATTCCTTTTTACAATTTTAACTATCCAGACAACTCTTATGGTTAGTATTGTCTGGACTGAATGATATTTTATACTGAAGTTTTTTAGAAAGAAGAAAACCAAACTTTAGTTCTGGGGAATAATTGGAGGTGAAAATTTTAATTTCCTCTCCCTGTGGAGAGATATTTTATTTAAGACAGAGCTTTTGATGTAGTGAGTAATAAGTCATTTCTATGCTGTATTTTCCTTTTTTTTAAGCCTCCAACCCCTCTGTGTTATATTTTAGATTAGTGTTCATTATTCTTATAAAAACTTTTCCTGTTTGAAGAAAAAGCAACAAATTAATCAACCCAAAGAAGTAGAAACTCAATAAACAATTCCAGATTGGCATTTAGCATTGAATGATTTTTCTTTCTTTTTTCCTGGTAAAATTTCTCAAGTTATAATTAAGTCCTTTGTATTATTTGAAATTTCTTTCTTTTTGGGCATATTCTGCTGGATCTTAGATTTAGGTACTCTTGCAGATTTGCCCTGCCTTCAAGGTATTACACAGAGTTTGTGATTATAGTTATTGAGTATTCAAGGTGGATAAATCACAGTTCCTGACATCAAGGAATTCATAGTATAAAGGAGACCACAGAGATACATGCACATTCCTGAGAGGCTGTCCCTCAGATGCCCTGGTGGAGGTATAAGTGGAATCCCCTTGGATGTGGGTGGGCAAGGAAGACTCTGTTAATACCACGGAGTGTCACTCATGTTGAGGAGGCTTGGGTACATCAGGAAAACTGCATGGAGCAGACGACTTGAGGTGTGACTTGAAGGAAAAGTGGGAACTCACCAGCTGGGTGAGAAGGAACGGGGAGTCCAGGTAGCGGAAGGAGTACACGCTCAGCCACAAAGGCTTGACCATGTGTGGGTAGGGAAGGAGGCTGGGCTTTCAGGTCAGGAACACCTGGGCTCAGATCAGGCTCTGGGGCTGCAGGCACATTCTTTGGGATGCAGTTCAGATTTTTTTTTTTTTTTGAGTTGGAGTCTCACTCTATCGCCCAGACTGGAGTGCAGTGGCCGCTCCAGGCCACCACAGCCTCGACCTGCTGGGCTCCGGCGATCTTTCTGCCTCAGCCTTCCAAGTAGCTGGAACTACAGGCGTGCACCACCACGCCCGGTTAATTTTTTGATTTATTGTAGAGATGAGGTCTCGCCAAGTTGCCCAGGCGGATCTCGAACCCGCGGGCTCAGGCAATCCACTCACCTCAGCCTCCCAAAGGTGCGGGATTACAGGCTGTAGAGTGGAGACCATATTCTCTGGGTTGGCTAGGTGGGTGGAACGAGAACCCACAGTGCTCTTTAACTCTGGAAGAAGGAGTGTAGGTGTAGTCAGGTGAGGAGATGCGCATGTTAGGAAAGCATTTTTATCTCTGGTGGGCCAGTCTCACTGTTGATTTTTATCCTTGCTGTAGGTCAAAGCGGCAACTGGAGAAGAGGTGTCTGCTGAGGACCTCGGAGGTGCTGATGTTCACTGCAGGTGAAACAGAAAGAGTGGTTTCTTTCCAGGGTTGTGTGTGTGTTTAAGAGAGATTTTATGGCTGAGCTCGGTGGCTCAGCCTAGAATCCCAGCATGTTGGGAGGCCAAGGAGAGTGGATTGCCTGAGTGCACAGGTTCAAGACCAGCTCAGGCAACTTGGCGAGACCGCGTCTCTACAATAAATAAGAAAAATAAGGCGGGCGTGTAATAAGTGTGCATCTGTAGTTCTGGCTACTTGGAAAGCTGCACCAGAGCCCAGTAGGATGATGCTGGGGTGGCCACGAGTGTGCCACAGCACTCTAGCCTGGGCGACAGAGTGAGACT